TCAGTTTAGAAACAACGGATATACCATTAATTTCCATTTCCTCGTAAATATTTTGACGGATGAGCCTGAAATTGCAGTTCCAAATCGCAAAAACGTAGTTCAAATTGCGCTCATCTATTCATTATCGTGGTTAAAAGGTTCGTAAGTAATACTCGAGTTGCTCTCAATGGACTACATTTCGCAACAAGCAGCCTTTGCCGTACTTTTGTTTTCAGTGCACTGCAGCCTGATTGTTGAAATGTTGTGTTTGTCTGGTGGACATAGATGACTTAGGTTAAATAGCGAAGCGTGATTGGTCGACTATGTCGGTTGGAAAGGGACGGCAAACTAAAGGCACCTCTTGAGTATCCGACAGTATGTCGTCCATTCCACCTGACAAATGCACAACAAAGCAGCGATAAGACATAGCCGACCGATCACGCTCGGCCTTTTAACCTATATCATCTATGCCTACCCGATGAACACAAAATTTCAACCATCAGACTGCTGGTCTTGTTGTGTTGTACTGGAAAGGAAACACATGGGATCTAAAGTCACTCTAGATTCAATAGGATTTTTGCTTGAATCAAAACGAAATCCGCTTAAATTAAGAGGCTTGGTTCTTGATTGAAACTAGATTCTGATTGAATCAAGAGTACTTTTTCTTGTCGATGTTTTTAAGAGGCTGGACACTAGATCCAATGTGTTTTTTTCCAGTGTGTAGTTTTGCCTCTAATGCCAGTCTTCATTCGTTTAAATTCACCGAAATTCGGCTCGGATAGAATCATTTTTTCCAGTAAGCCGCACAAGAGACTACTTCACAAATTCCATTTTTCCCCCTGTTGAGTTTTGATTACTATGCATCGGTTGGTTGACTATCGAACGAGGACGACCGCTCGCGAATCGCGTTCTCAAAACCCCTTCAATTCTTGCCGCTGCAATTGGTCACACGCGGGCCAACGGCCCAAACCAAACCCGCGGGAAATACCTCGCGCGCACGGACAGGGAGATGGAGGACGGTCCGGTCGGAGCGCATTGACGTTCGACGGCGGACAATTGAAAGCTCTTGAAACGAAAATTAAATAAAAAAATGGGAAAAGGTTATTTTGATGGAATACGTTATATTTATTTCGAAGAATAATTAATTGAATTAAACGTATGGGAACGCGGGCGCGAACGTAGGCGTCGAAGCGTGCAAGCGCGAGCGCAGCTTAAACTCGAGCCCAGGCGCCGAATCTCCTCCATAAATACATAAATAAACGCGAATTCGCACGTGATTTTCGACGGACGCGGCAACAGCGCTCATGCCAGAAACACGAGTTTCCACAATGATAAAACAAGACAGACGCGAGGGAAAAAAATTGAAAGTAAAATACATAATAAAAAAGCTGATAGTGGAAAGGTAAATAGGAAAAAAGAATTGTTTGGTATGGAGACGAGAAAAAATGTATTAAAAAGCCGAGCCTTACGTTGAATTGTGTTTGACACATGTTTTAATTAGTTTCGACGGCGATGCGTTTGACGGGCACCGCTCGGCTCTCAATAAAGGTGTTCATTTTTCAACGTGTACATTAAACAGTGACCCAAGAACCGTCCGGAGAGTTTTATTTCGTTTCGTTTCATTTCACTATTTTCCGCGCGCGCGCACGTAAAAAACCGCTCGAGTGGACCCCGAAACAATTAACATATCGGAATACGTCCTCTCATGCGTGTACTTCTCGGGAATGAGTTGTTTGGACGAAAAATATTGAGTTGATAATTGATGTGAGTTTAATATGTCCATGACTGAAGTCGAAAAATCGTATGCCCACTGGTTCAAAATCTCAGATATTTTAATTTTTTTTTTTTTTTTTTTTTTTGTTGCAAAGAAATTCCTGCCAACTATCGGACGGACCAGAATACTTCCATGCCAAGGAAGAACGCCGTAGGAGCCTTCAGACGTTGCCAAGTTTCCTTCGATAAAAACTGAATTTATTAGAAAAATTGTGTATATTTCATCCAAAATTTTCAGACAATTTTGCACGCAATTTGGTATAAAATATCTGAAAATTTCAAGTAAAAATATGCATGAATGTCCAAAAAAAAAAAAAAAAAAAAAAAAAAAAAAAAAAAAAAAGTCGCAAACCGAGATAATAATTATTTCTGCTGTTTTGCCACCGACTTATACAATACACATAAGATGCCGCTTTCCTAGGGCATTCTGTATCCTCCACAGCCCCCAACCTCCACTCTCAACGATTTTTCCACAGTTGATAATTTAATGTCAAGAAAGTTACCATCAAATAATAGCATGAAAGTTTAATATACTTTCAACGTCGTGATAAAAATCGCGGGGTATTGATATCAAGTTCAAGACAAGGACAAGAGTAGGAACATGTTCAATGGGTTGAGCACAAGAGCATTGTTGAAAGGACCTTGATACCAAGTGCCACTTTTTGAAACGAGAAAATTTTAATGCATGCACGATTATTCAGAAAATATTCGAAATCCGTCCTAAAAGTACCAATTAAATTTACATCGCTTAGATGAGAAGGGGCTGATTTTGATGTCCCCCCAAAAAGAGACAGAAAACACGCAAGTATGGCTCACAAATAAAGCCACGTCAGAGAAGAGATATAAAGTTTCGAAACTCCAATGCAACCGATGAGGGTCCAGGCCCCCTCTCCCGCGAAAAATTTTAAAAAGAGGAAAAAAACCTGCAAAAGTGAAACAGTTATAAATATTAATAAATCGAGTTACGCCGCAAATGTGTGCATCCGGCGAAAGCAGAAAAAGGGTAAAATCAAAATATTGCGAACGGGATGAAAGGAGAAAAAAACTATTTTTTTTCCTTCTTTTTTTTAAGTTCAGTGTGACCTTAAACAAATGCAAAAATAGTCATTTTACATCTGTATTATTTTTATTTTAATGACCTACCGCACGAGCCTGCACAGGGGGTGGAGGATGGGACAGCGGCCAACCTCGTCTCCGCGTGTTTTCAAAGACTACGAACGAATAATGAACCGAATCGGTTCGGGTCTCTAAAAAACCGGGTAGTGAAGGGATGACGCGATACAGAGGGAGGAGAAGGGGTTAATTTATATAATAATTCCCTGCAGCTAACAAATAAAAATACTGTCCATACGCACATAAATGGCTAAAGTCACAGGGCAGCTTGTTTTCACCGTTTTTTCCCCAAGCGATACGAATATTTGCCATTTGCTAGCCGCCCAGTTTTTTTCTGTTTTCATACCCACGGTCCTGTCATTAATTTCGCCGTAGGTGCTAATACAATACAGGCGGAAGTAAACTTCAAAATTCATACCTACATTGCCTACTTGCTGGACATTTATAGTTGAGAGCGTGGAGGGAGTATGCGAGCGAGATTATCAGTGGTTCAAAAATTGTTTAGAAAGCAAATGCGCAAACGGACACTAAATTGACTCAGTGGAAACTATTGCGATCAGAGCTCTGGAGGTCATGGTAATTGTCGTATTCGAGGCCCACGGAATCCTGATCTCAAAGTTTCCTCAAAATTCCAGTCTCAGGTTCCTAAAAGGTCACTAGAGACCCCGAATCCCTAACTTTAAGGACCCCATGACCCCCGAAACGCTAGTTTCAGAACCACTTCAATCCTCAAAAATCTCCATCTCCAATCACGTTAGAAGTGGGAAAAAGAAGTCTAAAGTTCCATTATACCTCGAGACTCGATGCTAAAACCTAAGTTTAAAGACTAACTTCACGTTCAAAATATTTTTTGACCGGGGACAATTTTCGATGAGTTGAACTTAAAACTTCTTACGACGTTAATCTGGCACCCTTGGTAATTTGTGGTAGATAACGACACCGCGGAAGACTGCTCATTCCCTCCTCAATCACGGGCATGTCTCTCTTCAATGGATAGCCCTCGCAGCACAAATGGCCCAGAGAGCTTTCATAGACATTTAAAAAGTGAACTAGGAGCCTGTGGTTGCTACGCAGCCGCCAACCACTAGAAAACACTATGTACACGTAAAAAATCGTAGAACAACCAGGAACAATGATTTTAAGAGATGAATGGATTCATAACCCGACGGATGCACCCGAAAGAAAACGTATATTTATCTCTGATCGCAACGTTATGCACCGCTTTTACGTTTTATTTTTAATAAATGTTTTTAAAAAGCTACTAACAGTTTTTCTGAAAAAGTTTCCGCGAATTTACCTGAATGATCTTAAATGAAAGTATCAAAATTTCGACGCGATATTTTCGTTTGTTCTATTTTCTTTTAATGTAACCAATATAAAAATAAATATCATCCGAGTTTCTGAATCGTTACAATGAGGATACATATTTTCCCTTTAACTATGGTAAAATCTGGAGCAGAAAATAAAAAATGATGGCGCCCAATCCTACAGCATTCCTACAGTCTTTTGAGCGCTGATATGCGTTTCACGCTGCCAATTGACTGACAGCACCGCGTTTGGCGCAATGCGAGAAGTATTCGTGCAGTCTTGTAGGCGCTAATATGGGCTTGACGCCGCCGGACGCTCTGCGCTTGGCGCGATTATTCGAGCTCGCGTCTTGCGGCATCGAATAATAGAGCTTAAAAGGCCCAGGTTGTGTTTCGATTTCGACGCCGTATGAGCATTCCAACGTTGCCTCGTTTCTTCCGATTAAATATTTTTCCCGAGAAAAGTTAGGAAGGTTCTTAATATCCGCAACTATTATTCAATCTTTTCACTTTATTTATCATCAGAAGGTAAGACATCGATGATTTGTCAACTAACTAACCTAAACTGGCGTTAACATAAAAATGCGTTTCTTTTTCAACTGTTTCCTGTTTTGCCAGACTTCTACCTTAAATTAACTTCATTTTAAATTCGCGCGCATTCTTATAGCAGATGTTGAGGTTTCTATTCGCGCAATCCTCATATATTTTCTTAGACCTTTCGCGCAATCCTGGATTACCGGCGAGGAGATCTGCAACTCTCGAACTTAGTTTTTCTTATATTAGTATTAATTTTTGTTAATTAATGTTAGTTTATTGTTCATGTTTCAGGAGAGCGACGAAGACTCGTGTAGCAGCAGTCGAAGTAGCTCAATCTCAGGAGCGGACTCAGTTTCAATGGGTGTCGCTCATACCGATTCTCCTTGTGCCAAAATCAAACTTCCTCCCCAGCTTCTGGGCGAGAATAAACATATCAACAGCAATTTATGTAAGTGAAAATGACCTATTATTAACCTTTGAAGGTGTGGTGGGTAGACGATCAAAAAACTCATCCAAAAGAGAGGAAGTGGCCGGGATTTATTAGTCCTAAAATTATTACTTCGCATCATTTTCCACCAAAAAAAAAATCTATCGCAGAATATTTTTCTACCAGAAATAAATGATGAATAGTGAGTGGCACTCCATTTTGATTAGAGTTGGGTCAATTTGGTGTCCAATTTCGATCAATGTAGAATGTTGCATGGTAAACAACAGTCATCCGATGGTCAATTTTTATTTTTAATGGGTCGCACTAAACCTTGGATTTTATTATGAATGTAAAAGAATTCACAAATAATTCCGATAAAAATTGTTGAAAGCCTTTCCTTTTTGAATGAATAAAATATGAATCGAGACTTACAACGTCGTGATCTAAGGCACGCATTTTTTTTTTAACGCAAGCCGTCGATACATTCCCACAAAAAGTAACTTTTTATAAAAATATTCGGATCCATACCTGTGTGAAAAAGTACCGATACTGAACAAAATTTATCACATCTTTTTCCGATTCCAGTGAGAAATAAAGTGAATGAAATCGAAACCCCTCGAATTGTTATGGTTCGGGTTCTTTGGAGAGTTTAATAAACTGCGATTTTATTCGATCCCTGAAAGAGCCTTAATCCACAGCGGATCAGCTTCACTCTGTAATTTGAATCGGTGTTGCGTGGGAGTCTTTTCATCGCTTTTCTCGAATGAATTACGACTTCATTTCGGGTGCTCTTTTGTGAAAATGATTTAATTACTCTTCGAAACAGTATTATTGGAATCCTCGAAATTATGCAGATCCAATGAGTGAACTGGCCAATCACTCGACTTCCTATAGGTAATAGATTCATATCGATCTAGTTCAATTATTTGAGTCTATCGAATGATACATTTTTACTTTTTGAGGATTCAGATGTTCGCTTTGAGATCTTGCGATCGAGGGGCCTATGTATCGTCGTCCCTCTGACGTAAGGGCGAGCCTCAATCCCACGTGAGCCCTGTTTTACATATAAATTCATGCTTTCTGCAGCTCAAACGGAATTGGTGATACGCCTTTACTAGAGCACTTATATAAGAAGAGTACGAACGTGTCAAAATATGAAATTCTTTGGGCCTAAAAGCGCAGCTAACTCTCTAACAGACAACGCTAGAAAATACCGCTGCTGATCTCCAGATTCAAATAACAAAGCAAAATGACCAAGAATGCTCATGAATGAGCGTCCACTCGCAAAAAATCTCGAGAAAAAACGCAACAATCGAAATATCTTAGATTTTCGCAAAAATATTTGCTGAAGTACGTCCAATTATGTATCTTAAATATGGTTTTTATTATTTTTTGTTGCAGTAGCTGGAATTGCAAACAATGTTTCAGCCACTAATCTACAGAGTCCTCTAATAAACACACCGCTGAATCTTAGTATTAACGCAAATGGTGAGAAATATTCACTACTATAGATTTAGAAAGACTATATTTATTTAACGAGTCAACGAGTCATAACTCCTCTTTTATTGCCAAAGGTTTCACGGTGGTCTTTCAAGGGAAACCCTAAACAATTGATTAATTTTAGAGAGATTGCAGTCTGGATTAATTCAGGAAATATTCGCATCAATTTTTCTGATACACTGAGAGCAATAGTTAAATATCTTACTAGCCGTTCTGGACGCGCTTTGCGCGTCCGTCACGGCCAGCCAAGGGGCTGCGCCCCCTGGACCCCCGATCACTCGCTACGCGAGTGACATTCGGCTCGCTCCGCGAGTCATTTTTCTCAGTGATTGGACGTTTGATCACTAAGATGTATTTATTTTGGAGACTCTAGAGGCAAAAATGATTTCGTCATAGAACCTTGTTGCCGGAGCGTGTCATCATTTGTACATGAATAGATGTGTGGAGATGAAGCGATGATGGGGATCGATCATTTCTTCAAAAACGCATTTGATTGGGACGTCATCCCATTGGGTGGCGGAAAAAGACAATCCATGGATCTCCTTCCGCGATTTGACTCGCTGAAGTAGCAAAAGTTCATCTTTAACTCTTAAGAAGATTATCGGTGGCGCAGGGGTCTAAAAACTGCTCAACGATAGTATAGTTCGAGTTCCGAATCGCAATGAGCCCACTCGTGTTTTTTTCTTATATTTTCATCGCATATAAATTTCGCTAATGTTTTTGTTTTATTCTCTCTGATTGCATATTAGTAATCATATCCTCATTTCATTTCCTTTCCCTTTCCTTTTTCCTTTTCTGTAGCATCTTTGTCCATTTACAATCATTATATTTTGAAATAGATTTCCCCCAGTATACAATTGATGCTTCAAACGGAATCAATTGTTTTAATGACATTTCCGGCTAAATCATGGGGTTTCCCAGGAAGGCAGTCTCTCGTCCCTCCCGGACTCTATTGTTGCCAGATAAGTTGCTTTTTTAGCACTTTTCCCAATTCAAATCCATGTAAAATATTCAAATTTATCGCACAATCTGGCAACCTCTCGAGTGAAATAGAAAAAGGTAGAATCGCTGAAAGTCTGAATCCTTCGAAGTTTATATTAATGATGATGAGAACAAAAATACTCAATTTCATTAATTTGGAAACAACGCATTCGTTCGACATGTTACCTGAATTTACCAAGTCGAGCAGAACTTTAGAGAGAAATTCAGGCTGTTGTAAAGTTCTATTGAGCTACCGGGTGAAGTTAAATATTTTTCCTTTTAAATACTCATACAACTGCTTAAAGTATCTTTAATGAAGTTGGAAATATGTTAAAGAATTTCATTGCTAACGACATATATATGTATCTCTATTGATTGCGTACCTAAAGCAGTTTCATGAAATCACCAACTTCGATCATTTTTGGTAGTGTCTCTTCATCTCTGTTCCTTTTAATGTCTCAGAATTAATAATTTAAAAAAATAAAATAAAAGAAATAATGACACTGTACTATTGACACAAGTAGACTAATATGAAACTATCGGCAAAATAATTAGAATTTTTGAAGTCGCACACAATTTTTACTTTTTAGCATTTTTTGACTAGCTCCGTTTTACCGTGGAATCTCTAATTATAACCATCATGAAACCTATGAAATCACCTATCATCAATTGGACGTATTTCTATCAAACGGACCTAAGCGCCATAGGGTGAGGAAGGTAGAAGGGAGCTTGGATTGGCGGCGAAATCGGGCGTCGGGCTTATTTCCGTCCTATACTCGCAATGCTTTTCCATGGCGCTTAGGTCCGTTTGACAAAACGCGCTATCCGGCATTCTAAATTCCTCAAAAGGAACTCAAATTGGCGCTTAGTTCCGTTTGATAGAAATACGTCCAATTATTCTTGTCGGCCAGTTTGATTGGAACACCATTTGACAGGGGTTCATTCTTTACAGGGTCGACGGGAGCGGACACGAACCAAGGGATGACACCGCAGCTCCTTGCAACTCCGCAACCAGCCGCGATGCCTCAGTTTATTCTAGCTTCTGGTCAACTTGTCCAAGGCATCCAAGGGGCTCAACTTCTCATCCCCACAGCACAGGGTATACACTCAATAATCTCTCCAACGAAAAAATTTAGAAATTTCACAATTACGTAGGTCATTAGATTTCATTAAAATATATGAAAAGTTGTACATGTCGTAGGCAGTCAGCAATTGCCGTCAATTTGCAAGCGGCACCAACGAACAACAAACGCTCGTTCGATTGCAAAAAATCACATCGATTTAAAAAAATGTCAAATTTGTTGACAGAAATTTAACCATGATGCGTTCCGTAAAATGTAGACCTTTAATAAGCAAAAAATCGCAGGGTTAATGAAATTTAGAGTGAGCCCAAAAACTGCGCTTATCACTACCCCTCCTTTTGTGCGACGAAAATGATCGACGCATCGAATGATGAAAAAATGGTCTATCGTGAGTGAATACTCTAATCAGAGTTTGAATTTTTTTTCAACAGGAATAGCAACTCAAACAATTCTGACGATACCAGTGAACCACGTTACGAGTAACCAAGTAGTCAATTTAGCTTTAAGTAATGGACAGGTGATCACGACCACTCTGGCTAACCTACAATCAATGGCGCAGCCACATCATCTCATATCACCCCAAACTAACGGAGGTACCATTACAATTATCTCGCTTTTATTTAATTGAAATCTCCGTTTAATTTTAGTATTTATTATTTTCATTTATATCATTAAGCATTTCTCTCGCTGATGACGCAACCACGAATTGATCGTAGGAATGTTGTTCTCAGTGCGGTGTCTCCTCACAAAAAGTAAAGGACTCAATTTCGCCCTCAGGATTGCTACTTTTAAAAGCAAATAAATCGATAATCGTTAAGTCTAGCAGACCACTGATGTATGGAAAAAAAATGTACAGAAAATAAATATTTTTCACATTGATGCATGAGTGATCCACGCACTGAAAACAATACTGATGTGTGTTACAAAGCGATTATAGTTGTATCTGTTGTAGTCAAATCCCAAGGTCTCTTCAAACATCGGAAACCAACTAGAAAGCTCCGATCTGACCTGAAATTTCTTAACTGGAGTTGGTCAATTTCTTTGGATCGCGGGGTTTGACTATAGTCACATCACGACATGTCTAGAATTCGGGATGTGTTAACGACATCATATCCATTTCGATAAATTCATTAATGTTTGATAGATTTACTACTAGTTGATTTTTGATGAATCCAATGTTTCCGATTTATCGGTTTTTGGGACATCGACTACCATAGAATCTATTTTCACTGAAGATCACACTATCCACGCGAGAAAAAAAAATCTTGATTTTTGATTGATCGAAAGACTTATGGTCTCTCGACGAGTAAAAGGCTCCTATAAGCGCATACCCAGCACAGAAAGGGAGAAGAGAGAGGATGCAATTCTCGTGTCCACTTCGGCAAAGAGTGCAGGAAAATCACTGATATTCTTCACTTTGCTTAACTTAAGCTTTTGCCTTCTTGTTTTTGGATAAATTCAGTATGAGTTAAGATTAAAAAAAAAAAAAAAAAAAAAAAAAAAAAAAAAAAAAAAAAAGATAAAAAAAAACTTTTAGCGGTTAATTTAAGCTACTTTCTCCAGTGTAATTCAATGTTTTGATTTCTATTTTCAGTCAGTCCAAGCCCGCCCTCAGCCGTGCCTCCCTCTGTTCACCCTGTAATTAATTTCCATCAATCAAGTCACAATGGTTCAAATACAACTCCTACGCCTCTCAGAAACCCACCACAAAATCATTTCATGGTAATTATTTATGAACTATCTTTATTTGTCATTCAATTTGCTATTAAATGTGATTCAAACTTCAGATGTCCGTTCACAAAGAGGAACAAAATTCGGTTCATATTGAGCCGAACCTTCTCGGTTCATTGGGTGACCGAAATCTCGGTTTCAAAAACTGAACATTGGTTCCGTTCCCCGAAACTAGGTTGCCTGAACTCTGGACATGTTTAATACGGTAATACGGTCCCTGTAATAAAAAAAAAAAATTTCTGCATTGCTCAAAATTCTTGAGTGAAGGATGAGTGCTTTGTTCGACACCCTATTGAATTATGAAGAAGCTAGGTGGTAAAATAATGCCGGGTCATGCATACGATAACTTGATTTCCTGCTGCCAAAGTTCGGGTCACACAACTAGTGTGGCTATTTTGTCTAATGCCGGTGTTTATTCTCGATAAAATTTCTAACTCTAAAATTGAACTTCTTGGAATTTCTTTGCCTTACTTTCCCCGCAAAATAATGTGGACCCAGCACTATTTTACCACCTTGCTACACAGTTTGGGCTACATGTTTAGTGTTTTTTCCTTGTTATGAAGGAGAAAAGGACCCAGTTAATTCCTTTTTCATGTCTTTTGAAGATGTAAACTGTTGTTGTTTGAGATATGTAAACTGTTCAAAATTGTCCAAACGCCGATTAGGTGTGAACGACAATCTCGTTCACCGCCATTGGACGCTGAGAGAGTTTACTTTTCGACATCGTTTGGATGAAAAAAAAAAGTGTAACGTTCGAAGCATTTCAGATTGGAGTACTTACTTGGATAAGGAAAGTATGGATAAGTCAAAACATAAAGCTCATATACACGGAGAAAAAAAATTCGCGCGCGGGACCCGAAGTTCAGGTCATGTTATGGGTCTCAGAAGTTTCCGGGTCGTGCAAAGGATAACTTGATTTCCTGCTGCCGAAGTGCGGGTCGTACGACTAAAGTACTTCGATTGGTACGTTTAGGAAGTTGAATTCTACTCCCATAATGCATCTTTGGCACATTTCGGCGTTTCCCTCACGAAAGAGCGTAACAAAAATTCGATGTCGCCAAACAACCCTCGGTATTTGCATATTCAGCAGGAGAATCTTGGGCATTTCTGGCTGAAAATTTCACTGATTATCCTTCGGATCTCAAGCAAAAATCAAAAAATTGTTGAATGAAAATTGCAGAGGTACACTTCTGTAAAAAAAAAAAAAAAAAAAAAAAAAAAAAAAAAAGAATTATTTGCGTCAATTTTGCAACCTAGGAATAGGGTTACGCTCCTTCGTTCGGGAGGAGACGATTGTGTTTGTTTCATTTTTTCTGTTGATTTTACGTGGATATAATGTGCGAGTTAATTTCTCTCCTGATAATGATATTCATGCTTGGATCTTATTTCTATTTCAGCAGGCGAAATGTGAGAAAATCTCAAACACGATGAACAACAATAACAATAATAGTATCAACAGTAACCTAAATAGCAACTTTCCTAGCAGTCACGCGCTGAATAGTTCATCGGGGACGGTGACGTCATCATCATCTCCAAGTAGTAGACTTAGCAGCAAAAGTAGTGATCTTACCATAAGTACGGCAACAACAACAACTACTACAACTTCGAGCTCTGTTGTCTCGGCCCCAAATCACTATAGCAATGTTAATAGTCCGACGCACGATTTGTTCGGGGAAACAAGTGAGTGAATTATTTTGTGTAACCAATGTCTTTATTGTCAGGTTTAAGAGCTGCCATGGAGAATCAATGGCACAGCTGTAACTAGAATATGCCTAATATCCTCTCATGTTTTGTTTCCTTTTTTTCCTCTTCTTCTCTTGTTTATTATTTTTTTTTTCTTTTGTTACTTTATTTTTCTTTCTTCGATATGTTTTTCATACTTACGGTAACTATTCTTGGTTATCATGTTTTTTTTACTTTCTTCCATTTTACAACAGGAAACCAAGAAACATGATCGTATCCAATTCAACATTATAAACGTTGACGTTTTTCAGGTATAATTCTTTACAATATATAGGAGGAGCAATCCCTAAAGCGCTGCAGGACGTTGTGTTGCAAAGTTCTCGGTTCGTAAAACAAACGTGAAATAAGAAATTCGGCAACCTAGAAACCAGTTAAGTTAGTTCCGGTTTAAGTCGCTCAGAATCCGCATTCCAAAAACCATCCTGTGATGTTTCTGCAGCACTGTAAAAAATATTATATATTTTTTCGGGAAATTCGTGAACAGATGGTTCTCGGTTTTCACTTGAAATAATGGAGTAAACTTGAAAATTTTGTAACAACCAAGTTCTAAGTTAAAGGTGCATTTCCGTAAATTCGCTGCGAATTTGTAACATCTGGTAATAGTTATGTTCATCAGAAAGGTGTAAAAGTTCATAAAATGACTGCTTGAAAATAAGCGCAACAGGGCCGGATGAAGGGGGTGGCCACATGGGCCGCGGCCCATGGCGGCAAATCTAAAGGGCGGCAAATTTTGCAATTTTTTTAAATGCAAGTATAAAAAAATAGCGGATTTAGAAAAACAAAATTACAAACGAGAAAAGGCGACAAAATCTCTCATTTCCTGAGAGTGTAGTAATTTTTAATTTTGTCCTCTTTCAATGATGCAAGAGACAGCACCTTCAATTAGTCGAGTTAAGAGAGAAACCAAACACGCAATTTGGCCTGGAACGGCGCGGCGCAGAGAGCAATGATCACGAGGACTTGAGATGAAAAGGAGAAGCCATCGGCGCGGCGATTGGCATGTAACTCATATTAGCTCCTACAAGACTGCACGAATACCTCACGCATTGCGCCAAACACAGTGCAGTCAGCGTGAAACGCATGGCGCCTACATGACTGCGTGAATACTTCACGTATTGCGCCAAACACCGTGCGGTCTGCGCGGCGCGGTGCGGTGGCGGAAGTTAAAATCATTAAACCACATTCATGTTTGTTCTTTCATAACTTTTTCGTTCATTTCTTATGAATGGAAAGGCCTTGTCCACACAGAGATAGGTTTACAAAACTTAACTTTTGCTAGTAGTGTTGAAAGGGCATCCCCAAAAAATGTGTTCAACACGAGTAAACGCGTCTTATGCACCCCTCCCCCGCTGGCGCGTTCATTTGATGGTTTTTTATTGATGTTCTAATACGAATGAGAAAGGGGCGGCAAAATACAGGCGGCCCATGGGCGGCAAGTAGGTAAATCCGACCCTGAAGCGCAAACTATTTTTTTATCATCCCGTTACATTCCTGAACTTATAATTAAGCTTTTTGATTATTTTAAAAACGAATGTATATCAATCGTTTGTTGCAGATCAACCCACAATAAGTCAAAGTACAGCGAACACTGTCGACGGAATCAATTTAGATGAAATCAAAGAATTTGCGAAAGCATTTAAATTAAGAAGACTATCTCTAGGTTTAACACAAACTCAGGTTGGTCAGGCGTTGAGCGTGACCGAAGGACCGGCTTACAGTCAAAGTGCAATATGCAGGTAATTCATCTTTTATGATTCTGTGTCTAAAATGTCATTAATCAAATAACAAAACGATTGTTTTGAGTTATATACGAAATCTTTTACGAAAAAAAAACAAAGGACCTTTTCTGGTTTAAACGAAGAAAATGGGGGGGGGGGGGATAAGAGAGAAAGTTAAAAGGGCATGAGGTGTCAGTCGATATATTTTAGCGCCTATGGATCATGAATTAGGCCACACAACTTACAACATCGTGCGTGTCCCAGTCTGTAGTTCTCTATTGATGTATGAGATGATCAATAAATTCATCCATTGGTTGATCTTTTGATTTAACGAGGGAGGCGTTGGTATGTCGGCGCGAATAACGGTAAGACGCAGTAAAGATTTTTCCAGCATCAGTAATATGAAACTTTCCATACGTTCATGACGTTATTATTTACCGAATTTTAAGGAATTTACGGAATTGTGAGTAGCTTCTTGAGTCTACTATACTTATAACCTCTTTGAAAGTCTCGTATGTGCATAATTGAAATCCCTGTATACTTAAGGAAATTTGGCACTTGTCTCAATAAATTATTGTCTTCCGTGGATATATGTTCTCCATTAATCCCTATTTTTAAGATTGGTGCCAACAAGCGGTGAAGTAAGATAACCCACATGAGTACGTGACAAAATTATACTAAAACTTACTCGACTTGAACAACCGCACTGAAGTAATAGCAAGAAAGACTCTGTTCCGTGCACTTTAAAGCTTTAGTTCTTAATAAAGTAATATCATCTGTGAGTCGAAAAATTAATTTTAAACGTTGGTTTCTGTTGTCCCCCAGTGCCCTGGCCACTCAGATGTATTGCGCAGCGCAACTAGCATCTCAACAACAGTCCATGTACGTTATTCCTTTGTTTTCTCTATGTAACCTCATTCATTTAATTATACCAGGCAAAACTGATCCAGACCACTTAAACGCAGAAATGTACGCTTAAATTTAAATATAGCTTTGCTCCTTTTGTTGAGTCTGCGGCATTAGGACCGTCTCTAAATTACGTAACGCACTTTTTCGGTATTTTTTACTCCCCTAACCCTTGTAATGCTTTTGTGGCGTAGGTCCCTATAGAGTGTCTCTATTCGTTTACACGTGAGATAAAAATGGTGTAACGCTCTCCTAGACCCTTCCTCTCCCCTAAAGCGTTACGTAATTTAGGGACGGCTCCCACAAATTTGACGTAAGAATCTCAATTGCATTAATTGCAACGTCTCAGAGGTTTCATCTGATAATTTTTTTTTTAATATTTTCGGGTTTACACTTTAAAATTAAAAGATAATTAAGAGAAAAGTTATAAAAAATTTAATAAAAAATTTGCAATCGATCTTCAGTATATATGAATGAATTGTTCAATAAAACTTCGCAACGTTGCAATGCAATGAAGTCGATCTGGCTCTGATCCTTTCAATTATCATCATATCAAAAGTGTATCGATGTTCCGAAGAATTCGGCAAATTTTTGCTCCCTATCCCTTCCATGCAATTGAAAGTTGAGCCCATTTAATTACGGATCATGAAAATATGCAGCGGTCAGTTTTGCCTGCCAGTATTAGGAAACGGTGATGGTTTGTTTCATTCCTTGCATGATGATTTGTAGGTATTAATACATTAATGCACTAATCATAACCACAGTGCACTGGCTTCTGTGAAAATTTCATTATTTTAATATACGCATACACATTAATAGTTTTTCGTGAGGTTTCTACCAATTTTAAATAATTCTGTGCAAATTTGGAATTTTTCCCCCACTGATTTTTAACTTTTTAACTTTTTTCGAGAGAGAAACTGCGTGAAACCAATGAATTACAGAGATAATAATTACACGAGCTCATCGTACCTGGTGTGAAAAGTGTGATGTGGAGATGTTCAACTTTCGAAGTATTTACTGGGGTTTTACAGAATTAACAGAACAATAATCATATCATACTCAAAAATATACCTTAAAAAATTCTGTATCTACGAGATTTGAAACAGCGATTTTTCTGACTGATGTGGAAGCTGAAAAAGTTATTTACTCATACAGACTTCGTGCGTAGCAACTCGGAAAATTTTTGAAAATTCAAAAAAATTCTGCCAGGTGTATCATCATTATACGCCTGGTTGACATGCTAAACATTCATTAAATAACTATAATCAACGCAAAATCTACACAGCAGTCGAAATTCCTTACGGAGGATCTCGCCTAAATGCAGTCGTGCATGTACAGTTCACGGGTTTCTAAGTTCAAATTTTCCACCCACATATTATTATAATTTTCGTCGAAATTTGAACATCTTACCTCAGAGACGGCAAGCAACGGTTTCCCTATTTCAACCTTTTAGACCGGAATTCTGTAGCACGTTTTCCCAGTGAGCCAGGGCATTGTGGCACTTCAGTGTTTTGATTTGTTCATCCTTCACTTGAAAAAAGCGTATTTTTCTGACAAAACGCCTTCAAACCTAGATCGAGAGCTTCAGCCCCTTATTTGCTGCTTATATTCTAAATTTAATTTTTGAGATTTTCAGGTTATAATGTAAATCTCATCTAGTTTTTTGTGGGGAAAAAGGAGAGGGCAATTTAGATATTTTTTAAATTTTTTACCGACAAAGCTCATTTGAAGTAAAACATTAATTGAATCTTTCTAGTCTTTCCTCAAAAAATATTGATTATTTATGGAAACTGCACCGATATAGATACCAGTGCCACTTACTTTGGGCATGGGAGAGGGGAAAAAGCGTTTTGGTTTGAGCCAAATTCGAAGTTGCTCTTAACGAAAAATACGCTTATATTAACAGAATTATAGTATTTTTAAGTGGACATGCAATTTTTGTGAAACGGCCTTTGTAAAAAGATCCTATCTACTGAATGACGTCGAACGGGCTGACTGTTGAAGTCATGTGTTTGCACGTTAAACAAGACATGACTAAGGTGAAATGGAGTTATGTGATTGGTTAATTTCTTCGTAGTTTGTCGATTCTCCTAGAGGACGACAACCAGTCGATTAGTGCCTTGCGATAAATCGATTGATCTGTCATTTAAACCTATAGAAAAGGATCGCTCAACAGGGTGTTCGCAACGAACGCCTTCATAATCGATTCTTTGCTACAGCTTCAAATGGATCAATAATCGATCATTCACACCTCGTCACTGAGTCGAGACCGATAAAGGCTCAAAAAAAAAAAAACAGTTGACGAGCGTCGACGAGGAAATCAACCAATCCCACACCTCCATTTCACCTTACTCTTGTCTTGTCCAAACTACAAACACTAAACAATAATCAGCCCGCAATTGAAGCAACGTGAACTAGACAGCATTTTCACCTGTTGAAAATTCAGTCAATGATAATTATAATAATTTCATTAATATTTTTCTTTTTCCTAAGTAAGTAAATTTTTTCTTTTTAACAGGTTCGAGAAACTTGACATTACTCCGAAGAGTGCGGAGAAAATTAAACCCGTGCTTGAAAGGTGGCTCAAGGAGGCAGAGGAAAGGTAGGTTCATGTCGTTGAATCAATGAATCATGTCACAGGAGAAAAGTCTCTTGGATCCAGAGTCCAGACTCTTAAATAATTTGAAAATGAAAAGTACTCTCGATTCAATCAGATTTGTTCTTGAATCGAGAGCCAAGCCTCTTACTTTTAGCGGATTTCCTTTTGATACAAGATTCAATTAAGCAAGCATCCAATTGACTCAAAAGTATTTTTCTTGTCAATTTTTTTAAAAATCTGGACTTTTTTCCAATGATAATTGGATTACATTTCGCAATAAGAAGCCACTGTTTCCGGCTCATTTTAGAACAACATATATACCATGAATTTTCCCATTCAGATACGTGCTTTTATGGATGAGCCAGAAATAGTAGTTCCTTATTGCAAAATGTAATCCACATATCACGTAGAAAAGAATCGTATAGAAAATAATTAAAATTTGAAACTTTTTGCATATTGCCGGAGTAATTTTAAGAAGAACGACAAGTATGCTGCAGAAGTAGACATTTACTAAAAGTTCAGGAGATGCAAAGCGCTGTTTTAATGACAAGAAAAAGTGCAGAAACGATGGATCTCGAAGTCTCTCAGACATTTAACAACTTTGACTTTATGTTGAAAATGTCACTAGGTTTTTTTTTTTTTTTTTTTTTTTTTTTTTTTTTTTTTTTTTGTTAACTACTAATAGTTTTCTTACACACTACTAATATTTTTCCACTTTGAACAGGCATAGAAGCGGCCAAAATCACCTGACAGAATTCATAGGAATGGAACCAAGTAAAAAACGAAAACGACGCACCTCTTTTACACCTCAAGCTCTAGAACTTTTAAATGCTCACTTTGAACTTAACACGCACCCATCTGGTAAGTATGACCTATTTGGGCATTTCCATGAAGATAAACATGTTTTCTTCCCTTCACCAATGTCAATGGGTCACTAGAGCAGGAACGAATTTTGACTTGCGAATACATTTTACCAGAAGGTAATGACGCGTAGAACACGATGTGCACTTTCAAAACGCGAAAGAATAACACAACAACCCCAGTTAAAATAGCGCAACTTTTCCGCGAATTTGATTCGCCCCGGTCAGGGCCGGATTTAGGGGGTGGCCACATGGGCCGCGGCCCATGGCGGCAAATTTTTTCATTACTGCTTAACATGAATGTACAAGGTGAGCGATAGGTAGCTCATTGAATCCAAGATATTATTACTTTTCTATTTTTTATGGGAAATTGGAAACGGTCTTTGCCGGGCACTCAACGAGACACTAATGGGTTACAAATAGCTCAAAGCTAATTATCGATGCTAACGTGGGAAGGAATGGCTGTTTCTACGAAATTTTTCTCGAAAAGTAGTTCTGCTTACTATCGCGTTTCCTTCAAGCTATTGTTTTTGCTCCTTCCGCGAATGCGTGAGATGTATACTGTTTTGCTTCCGATCCATGTAAATCTAGTTTTACGTTTATTTTAAATTTGTTCGTTTTTCCCAGAAAGAGGTCTCAAATTTTTAAGACAATGTCCGAAGTTCTAAATATCAGAACGCATCGGTAAAAAGGGACCTTGTCATTCGGGAGACGACTCTCCAAAAGAGCTAGATTTAAGGGAAAATTTTGAAATGGGCGATTCCTAGTTTTGAACGGAAAACGCTCTCCAAAAACCTTTGGAACAAACTACGCGTAGTTTTATTTGGATTTTCTCATCGAAACATTTGACACTTTTTATCAATCAATCAATGACTTGAATTTCTTTAATTTTCCAGGTACAGACATAACAGCTCTTGCCCATCAGCTGGGTTACGAACGAGAGGTCATTCGAATATGGTTCTGTAACAAACGACAAGCCCTTAAAAACACAGTTCGCATGATGTCGAAAGGCTGTACATAGCGGACATCCTCTCCGCAGGGCCCCTGTTCCTGAAAATAGTCGTGGATGCCCTCTATCTCAACAATCATACTGAGCAGTGATATTATTTAAATAAGGACAAGAAAATGTAAAATTTTAATTTTTATTGTTGAAACCATCAGTAGTATTATTTTGTACCTTTTAAGACTCCGATGTATTGAAAGAAAAAAAATTGAATTGTCTTATCTTGGTGCTTTGTAAAAACTGCATGAACAGAAACCGTAGACGCTTTTGTGCCAAAAAAGACTATGCAAAATGGAAACCTAATATAACTAGATCTCTGTTATGTAAACGCATCAAAATTTCCTTTATGCAATTCCCCATGATGTGTTATTTGATCCTCGGCACAGGCTTGTATTTTCTGTCGATGACACGATGATATTAGAATGGAATAAAAGAGGTAGGTACCCTCTTCAGTCAATGATTAATCGGACTATATTTTGCAATTAGGAACTACAATTTTTGACTCAGTTTAGAAACAACGTGTGTACCCGTAGTTTCCCTGTGTACATAAACTGTTTACGGATGAGCCAAAAATTGTAGTTCCTAATTGCAAAAGGAAGTGTAATTGTGTCTAATGATCCATTGGCATCTTCCGTAGTCTTCTGACGACAGATGGACTTCATTTTGCGATAAGGAATTACAATATCTGGCTCATAAATAAATAATAAACCATTTATCTAGGATCTATACCATTTAACTAGATTGGGATAAAACCATTTATCTAGATTGGGAAACTAATGGCACATGAGTTGCTTCTAAAATGAACCAGAGATTTTAGTTCCTAATTACAAAATGTAGTCCAGATATCGGAGTAAAACGCAGAGAAAATCTCGTCAGCATTAGAGGTACTCCTCAGACTTTTATTTTATTCAAGCCCTAAAAAATACATGGGTAGACTTTTTATTTATGATTTTTATTCTATTAGGTATTGTTTTACTTACGGTAAAATTTATAAAATGTTTCATGGAAATGTTCTTGTATCCACACGTCACAACACAGGAAGAGCTTTGTTCTCGATTACGAGATAATTTAGTGCAAAAACTCTAATTTTCCTCAATACATTGTTTATATTATGGAAACTCAGAAAAAGGAGCGAGCTGATTATTGAAATTAATAAACAAAGAATGCGAAGGGAAAATAAAGCGATCTGATTGGTTGCCACGGGTGGTTCTAATAGACTAAGGGAGAAATTGATAGACTAACTATAGGGTCTTTCGTGGGTTCCCGTAGTTAGTTTATCATACTTTCCTCCTTTGTCCATTGCATATCCATTTTTCATTTGTTCTATCGCTTTGTCTATCAATTTCAATAATCATCCCACAGGTGAACGAAGAACTTGATCTGACTTATCAGTATCAGGACATCCGAATCAGCTTTAACCAAAATAACTTTTTTTGAAACTTCATTGCTTCTTGCTTGGCAGATCTTACAAAATGTTTGCTCACTACTGACATCATTGAAGGAGTTTCTAAGAAGTTCATACGCTGAAAGGGCATGCACACAGTTAAGTTTATTTGTTCGGCAGAGTACCGAACAGATTTCGGTTCTTTTGATTTTTCAAGTTCCTTTTTGAAAAATGCTACGAGATAAAATCGACACGTGTTTTAGTTAAAGTTTCATTTTTTGTTTAAAAAAAGAGATACTGGCGTTAGTTCGCTCATCGCCTGTCTCAATTTTTTTTAAAACCCCTTGCACATCCTCATATGAGCAGCCTCATATGTTTCTGTTTAAAAAATACCCTCGCCGTTTCTGAGTTTCCTGAATTCATTTGTCTATTTATTTTTCGTGCCATTCATATATTTTGTTCTTTACGTTTATTGCAAGTCAAGTTTATTCAATTTCCGAGTAAAATATTATGAAAAAACATTCAAGAATAATGGCTCTGTTCTTTAAGTCTTCAGTCCTTAAAATAGCAGGGCCGGATTAAGGGGGTGGCCACATGGGCCGCGGCCCATAGCGGTAAATTTAGGGGGCGGCAAATTTTGCATTGTTTTTAAGACGTAGGTATAAAATGGAATCGGATTCAGAAAAAAAATTACAAACGAAGAAAGCGTCTTTCGGTGACACCAGAGACAGCGACTTTAATTAGTCGAGTTAAGAGAGAAACCAAACACGCAATTTGGCATGGAGCGCCGCACCGCGACGCAGAGAGCAATGATGATGAGGACTTGAGATGAAAAGGAGAAGCTCTCAGCGCAGCGCGCGGTGAATCGAGTCAATGAGAGAGGTCGGACAAAATTTGGAAACTCTAAACGCTATATAACTCAGTTTATACAAAAATCTGATGTTCTGCAAGTGGTTCCGTTGGTTTTCTCGTGAAATTTTCTTCCAGGATCACCCCCTGAACTTTAAAATGTGACAAAACAAACATCAATATTTGCAGTTTTTGTCAAAAATTTCATGCCCGACCTCTCTAATTGACTCAATCCACTGTGCGGCGGTTGGCATGTAACAAATATTAGCACCTACAAGACTGCATGAATACTTCACGCATTGCGTCAAACACAGTGCGGTCAGCGCGGCGGCGAAAGTTAAAATTATTAAACCACATTTATGTTTGTTCTTGCATAGTTTTTATGTTCATTTCTTACAAATGGAAGGACTTGTTCTCACAGAAATAGGTTTACGGAACTCAACTTTCGCGCAAAATTGGAACCCACTAGGAATCCAAACCTTATTCGCAAGGTTACATTCAAAGGTTTCTTATCCCACGAGTATTAGAAGGGAGCATTAATTTAAACAAGACTTTTTCTTCAGGTATAATTCTAATTTCATTTTCCGTCAAAACCAATACAGTCCTTTTAAAACACATTACACATTTTATAAATTGGTTCCATTTCTCAAGACTTGCCTTTTAAGCGAAGGTGCCGTGGAAGGAACTAATTACCAAGATGTTCCGAAATGATAACCGATTGTAGCGCAGAGGCAGTTCCGTCACTTCCATGCCTGAGTCCGGCTGGATTCTGGTCTTAGCTGTGACTGAGGCCCCCTTAAAAAATGAGAAGAAAAAACTCTTTAAGGAATGTTCTATTCGTGTTTCCTTGTAATTTACAAAAAGTCTACCTCCATTAACTTTGCTACTTTTTCAAGTCTCAAAAACATAGGCGGATCCAGACACCTCGATCGGGAGGGGGTGGACGTTCTTTGGCACACTGGAAAAAAAAACACATCGGATCTAGAGTCCAGACTCTTAAAAACACCGACAAGAAAAAATACTCTTGATTCAATCAGATAAATCAAGAACCAAGCCTCTTAATTTGAGCGGATTTCCTTTTGATTTAAGCTTAAATCTGATTGAATCAAGAGTCCTTTTTCTTGTCAATGTTTTCAAGAGTCTGGACTCTAGAT